CCCGGGGGTGCCTAGGTACCTCTTCTAAGTTTCACAACAATTCCGCTCATGTGACTTCTTTGTTCAATACTGTATATATCTATCCGTGTTAGTGTAAATTACTTGTACCTGATGATGACAAAACCTTGTTGCAACGTTGTACATTTGCTGTTATGTGAAACTTATTTTAAAGTTTTCCTTCATTACCCATTCAAGCCGTCTCCAACTATTATTAGTCTCAAAGTGGGTTCTTCGTCATCGAATTCGAACAATCATAGGAATCTGTAACCAACACAATCATGGATCCACAAGCATGGGGCTCTGTAACCAACACAATCATGAACCTAAAAGCAGTTTTGTGTATAAATAGTTTAGAAAGATGTGTTTAAAGGGATTAGATCCATCTAGGGCTAACGTTCATGACTCAGTTCGAGTCTGATGTATTCGATCTATCGCACTGTGTACGGTGAGTACTGACTTTGTGCGTGCAAGATAGAGACGTGAATTATAGCACTGGATTTTGTACAAGAATATTAAAGATTTAAATCAACAATCACTGAACACAGTGTGATACAAGGACTGATATTGAATTGATTTATCATTTTTTAACTTCGTTGAAGCGACGGCAAACAAGAAACTTTATAGCATTAACTAAACTGAATACTAATTTTTCTCTGTGATGCAATAATATGAGTGAGTGTTAGGATTATAAAAATCAATCTCTCATCAATATAAATCGAAGTTTAAATATTGTTCTAAAACTTCCTTATAACAAGAGTCGAAACTAAAATATTTTTCTGTTCCAGTTTCTGACGCGAACTGCTAAATTACAAATTTACTAGTGATTTACTATAAGTTACATCTCAGTTAAGTATTAAAGGGTTAATCTACCTTACTTGCTAGAAGGACTTTCTTCCTTATTTCAAACTACATTCTTCCATTTTAACAAACAAGACCCCTCCTCAACCTGTTTTAACTAGTGCTAGATTGATTCGTGCTTGTAGTAGACATGTTTTCACAATTTCTAGATAGATTTCTAATCATATCATATGTGGTGTTATTATTACCATATGTGGTGTCATTATATCGTATGTGGTGTCATTATACCGTATGTGATGTCATTATTATCATATGTATGGTGTCATTATTGCCGTATGTGTGTCATTATACCGTAGGTAGTGTCATCATACCATATATGGTGGCATTATACCATATGTGGTGTCATTATTACCATATGTGATATCATTATATCATATGTGGTGTCATTATTACCATATGCAGTGCCATTATATCATATGTGGTGTAATTATATCATATGTGGTGTCATTATTACCATATATGATGTATTATTACCACATGGTGTCATCATTGCCATATGTAATGTCATTATTGCCATATGTAATATCGTTATACTGTAGGTAGTGTCATCATACCATATGTGATATGTCATTATATCATATGTGGTGTCATTATACCGTATGTGGTGTCATTATTATCATATGTGGTGTCATTATTACCATATGTGGTGTATTATTACCATATGTGGTGTATTATTACCATATGTGGTGTCATTACTGCCATGTGTGGTGTTATTATTACCATATGTGGTGTCATTATATTGTATGTGGTGTCATTATTATCGCATGTGGTGTCATTATATCGTATGTTGTGTCATTATTACCATATGTGGTGTCATTATATCGTATGTGGTGTCATTATTATCATATGTGATGTGTTATTACCATATATGATGCCATTATTGCCATATGTAATGTCATTATTGCCTTATGTAATATCATTATACCGTAGGTAGTGTCATTATTACCATATGTGGTGTCATCATTACCATATGTAGGGCCATTATATCATATGTGAAGTCATTATTACCATATGTGGTGTTATTATTACCATATGTAGTGCCATTATATCATATTTGGAGTCATTATTACCATATGTGGTATCATTATTACCATATGTGATATAATTATATCATATGTGTTGTCATTATCTCATATGTGGCTGAAAAATGGAAGGTGTTTCAATTTCTTCATAAATTTCGGATTGTTTTAGTTTTTTATTGTTTGGTTCTTGTTGAATACAAAAGTACACAATGGGTTATCTGTGTTCTGCCCACGGGTAACGAAGCCTGAATTTTACTGTTGCAAGCCTGCAGATTTCTCGCTGAGCGAATCGGAGGATTATTTGATAAAATTACTTCACTCACGTTAACCCAAACAAACCTTACATACAGTTTGTATGATTCACATACGAAACATTTAAGTATTAGTTTGTAAAATATTGATGTACAAATTCAATAAGTTACAGCTACTATACCATCAAATCCACAGGCAAAAGCAGGATAAGGACATTATTAACATAGAATTCTCTACAGTAAATCATTTTTGTGGGATGATTCACACGTGATTTTTCTATTTTCCAGAATAGATTAAACAGGTCTTGCTGAAATAAACAGATTAGAAATTTACAGGAACGGACGTATAAGATAATCAGACTTGTACGTATTGTACTTTACTTCACCTAATTAACTTCTTTTTAATGTGCAATCAAAATTCGGAGAACACCAATCACCGAACTAATGGCTAACTGACGACCATCTTACCTGGTAAAAAGTTTGTCATATTTATCTCACCTTTAGGTTTCTGGTCAGCAAGGTCAATTGTTTCTACATTATCGTAAGAAGAACTGTTACTAATGGTGTGATCATTCGGCACAGTGTCAGTCTCGTCGGGACCGATGTTTGAGTTATAGTCACTTATGGTTCTTTGATTGCTATTGGACTTCCCACTTTCTGGACTATTTCTAAGATCTCGTGGTCCCTTCCTAGGGGAACGTCGTTGGTGGGCTCGAGAGTCGTGAACAATGACGTCACTAAGAATTAAAAGTTGTTAATAGATTTAACTATTTCTCCCTCATAACTCGATAGCACCATTTGTACTATACCTTAAAATACCAGTCTGTAGTTATATAGTGACGGCAAGAATAAAAGAATCAGTATGTAAACATAACGATAAATCAAGTGTTTTCAAAACTTTGCTGACAATTATAATTATAGTTTTAGTCAATGAAAACTGTGGAGTCTAAAGACATATATGTAGGAGTATCACATTACAGCATCTTATCGTCAGGAAGAGGAAACTTTGATAAGTATCTACCTTTTCTCGTGACCTAAATTAATAACGCACAAAAACAACAGATGCCTTGAAAACTGCTTGTATTTTTACCCTTCTAAAATTGTTATGTGAACATAATTTTACTTAATCCGATGTTTTCAGTGTTCATGCTGACATTACTGTTTCATAATAATCTTTCTTGTAAACAGGATGTTATCAGTTTTACTTTGTGCTAATCTCCACCATGGGTAGGTTGCTCATTTCAGGGCTGATTCTACAAGATTATACATGAACTGCTATATTACTTCACCTGACATGCGGGTTTTGCTCAGACGTAAGGGCCCGGCATGGCCAGGTGGATAAGGCGCTCGACTCACAATCTGAAGGTCGCGGGTTCGAATCCGCATCCCACCAAACATGCTCGCCCTTTCAGCCGTGGGGGCGTTATAATGTGACG